GACCAGCCCAACACTCTACGGCCCAGTATCCAATTGCCCAAAAGAAACGGAGGAAACAATTATGTCAGGACTCAGAAGGCCTCCACTAACTCCAGTATTATTCGGTTGCTGCAACACTCCACTAACTCCAGGACTATTCGGGAGTCACGAAACCAGAAGAGGCTGGGCGGCTGGCTGAGGGATCGTACTAGAAGGCTGAAGGGCGAAGACAGATTCCATTTTTGAGCTCTTTTTTGTGCTTCTTCATCTAATCGTCATATGTTCTCTCATTATTTAGGTATTATATTTCAATTTAAATTACCCAATTTCAAAATTTGTTTCTTAATATTTGATAGTTTTGAATATTACTAAATTATGTTTTGAATTTTGAATATTTATTTTGTTCCATGGTTCTAGTGTGTTTGTGCATATTTAAATTTTTGATAAATGTTAATGTAATTTTAAATTCTTGAGATTAAATATATGAAATTGTTGTCATTGATATTTTATTTTGTTACTTTCCTTTTTGAATCAAAAAATTTTGAGACGTGAGATGGATAAATTTGTTAATCGACAAAAAAAGAATTTGCCAATAGAAGGTATGTTTAGTTGCACTTTGCACATATCGAAGGTATGTTTACTTCACTTTGCCAATTAAAGTAGTTACTATTCCGAATTTGTTTATTTATTGAATGAATTTTTGCCCTCCCAAGAAGTGTTCTCTGGCTCCGCCACTGCACATTATTATAGTTTTTGGTAATGTATATGACCATGTTTGGTAATGTAAATGCATTTTAAGTCCTATTTCGGGAATAAAAACATGGAAGTCATATTTTGATATATTTTCAATGTTCTAGTCCTACTTTGGTCTTTCTCCCAAAAAAGAAAGCTTTTTGAATGGATAGAAAATAAATGTGCGTTTGGTTGTAGAAAAATATTCTCACAAAAAAATTTTATTCTATTTTTCTGCGCTTAAAAGCATTAGTGGAAGAAAATTGTTTTTTGAGAAATATTTTTCTCCTATGGGGAAAGAATAATTTTGGTCTGCTTTCAAAAAATAAATTCACATTCCCTCTCCATCCCATCCCCTATGCCCGCCCCTTCCCACAACGCACACCATCGATCGCCCCTTCAGATAATTAAAGGTACCCCGGAGTATAATTTTAAAAAAGATGGACATGTGAGTTCTTATCACAAAACCGAAGGTACCTGACAACAATTTTCTGCATTCCCTCTCCATCCCATCCCATCCCCTACCCGTCCCTTCCCACAACGCCCACCATCGATCGCCCCCCACACCCTACCACCCGTACCTCAACCCCAAATACACTACCACACTTGTCAACCCTGAGACCCTCACTCCTCTTCACCCTCTTACCGTACCCCATCCACCCACGCCAACCATCCACCCCCTTCCCACCCAACCCCGACACCATATCCCCACCCCATAGTCTCTCGTCACTCACCATCCGCCTATGAACCTCGTCCACCCGCCCCTGCCCCCATCCACATGTGTCGTCCTCTATGCTACTAATAAAATTTTATTAATTTATCTCAAAACATCTTTTTGAATATTAATTTTCAAATATTAATGATAGAAATGAAGTTTTTAATAAACATTTTACTTTTGTTAATAGAAAATCTAGACATTTCTTCATATAAGAGTCTGTCTGTCTATAGATTTTTATTAATAAATAAAAATCTGTTATTCACAAAAACATCAATAACTTTAAAAGTAGGAATAGAAATTAATGAATTTATACATAATCCATGAAAATATGAAAATTATAAAAAAAAATTACTCCTTTCGTCTCCAAATAAATTTTCTTCTAAAATAAACATTTTACTTTTGTTTTTTCTCTAATTTCCCATTTTTCGAACACATTTTCAAACACTTTTAATATCCTGAACATCTCATTTTTCATTTTCCAAAACTTTTTTTTTTGTATTTTTCTTAAGTCTGCAAAAGTCAAATGCAAGAATTTACTGCAAGGCAGGGTAGTATGACTTTTACACAGCTAGCCTTCCTTAAAGAAAAGAAAAAAGAAGCAAAGAAACACGTGGGACAGTGACGGAAGTGAATAATGCAAACGTCACATTTGCGGCCGTGGCAAACGCGTGAGAGGGGGACGCGCTCAAGAAGTGAAATGGGATTCCCCACACGGCTCTCTCCTTTTATTCCTCTATTATATTCCTTGGTTGTATCTTCGTACTCTCCACATGTTGTTGGCCATCCCACACAAATTACTCGACAATAATCCTACGGAGTAGTTGTTTAGATTAAAATAAAATTATACCCACTACTATCATACATGCACTTTTTTACAAAAAAAAAAATTGGTACAATTGACTTTATTACCATACATAGTGATGGGAAATAATACGTGTCTCGGCCCACATTTTCCAATTATTTACGAAGAACAGTTAAACCGGGTCTGTTTAATAAAATAGAAGAATAAGAGAATATTCTTGAGGGAGGGTTGCCCTAATTGTTGAGGGAGGGCAAAAAATCACACTCTCCCCTGCCATTTACTATTTCTCACTCTAGATAGCATATTTTTCTTCTTCTTCAAGAGCTTCTAGCTCCACCATTAATGGCTTCTAAGCCTAAATCATGTACCGTGTATACACCCCCGATATTAATAAAAATCCCCCGTTGGCAAGGTACCGCCAAAAAAGGCCCGTGGTTTTCTCCCGATTTGGGTTTCCACGTCAAAATCCNNAGGGAGGGTTGCCCTAATTGTTGAGGGAGGGCAAAAAATCACACTCTCCCCTGCCATTTACTATTTCTCACTCTAGATAGCATATTTTTCTTCTTCTTCAAGAGCTTCTAGCTCCACCATTAATGGCTTCTAAGCCTAAATCATGTACCGTGTATACACCCCCGATATTAATAAAAATCCCCCGTTGGCAAGGTACCGCCAAAAAAGGCCCGTGGTTTTCTCCCGATTTGGGTTTCCACGTCAAAATCCTCGTGTTTATATTTTGGTGTATTTTTAGACTAGTTTATCGTTTTAGCCGGGCTAAAAACGGTATACCGGTCGATAATTTACACCATCATTTTGGCGCCGACCGTGGGACCAGAACAAGAAGCGGTGCTTTTGTCCGGCCATCTTTCCGTCGGTGGAAGGAAAAAAAAAAGTGAATTTCAAGAGTCAAATAAAGGGACTCAAAGAGAGAAATGGCCAAATTATACCGAACATATGTTCTGGCCTTCAACTGTTAATGCCTCCTGGATCTTTCGTAGCCACCTTCATTGCGGCTACCCGGTCCACCTTCGTCGTGGCTGCTGGAGTAACAGTGGTACAAAAAAACCCAGAGAGATCACTCTCTGTTCGCCGCTGCCGTCGTGGGTTGTGGCCACCACTGCCGCCGGTTGATGGAACCACCACACCAAATCATGAAACCGCACCCCGTTGATGTGTCTACCCCTGTCGCCCCTGGAGCCAATCATTGGAATCTGGTATTGCCGTCGTAGTGGGGGTCAGTTGTGGCTAGAATCCACAGAGGCTGCACACAGAGTTTGCCACTGCGGGAATTCATCCCTGCCACTTCGCTCGGGACTAACAAGCAATGACCAAGAAACACGCCATTGCCACTACCAGAGGTTCATGGTCGTTGACGTTACCACGATTGAGTTCACCATCGTTGCTATTCATCGTGGCCGATCGGGATATGATTGCTGCCGCTTCACTCTCGAGACAACTTTGCCGATGTCACCCACTGGCCACTACCATCACTGGAGGATAATCCATCTAGATCTACCACTGTCGCATATGTCCACCACCACGTTATTGAAGTCTGCCACCAGCGCTACTGAGGTCTGGCCATCGTGACAACTGTTTAAAAAAAAACTTCCAGATCTGTTCGCCACTGAGGTTATCCATTTTAGCCGCTGAAGCGGATCACTGCTGCTGAAGAAGTCTGTCACCACCGTCGCCATAGGATCTGCCGTCATCGCCTGCACGCCAGAGGTCGGTGGTCATCCGTGGTGCCGCCGAGGTCCGTTGTAGCCAAAGTCTGCCACTACCGAAATCTGATCTCTTGAACATCAGATCCGCCGCCACCGCCACTGTTGCGGCCGTTGCAGTTTTGGACCGCTGCAATGATGCGGTATCCAAGTCACTGAAACCACCGCGGGAGCCAGCCACAAGCCATTTCTAGATGGAGACGAGGTTTACCGACATCATACTGGTTCTCGGATGTGTCAACTATGTCGTCATCATTGCAGCAATCGTGGACTCTCAGGTCGCCGTCTCTGACCATCCACCGTGGAAGGACTGAGCTTCGTAGCTGCGGCCGCTTATAGATATGCAACCACCGACGTTACCGGATGTGATTCCGCCTTAGATCATGGTAATTGCGGCGAAAATTCCTCTCATTTAATCTGCTCCTAGCGAATCTGCCATCCCAGTTATAAAAATCCACCACCGTCAATAGCTCTGGAGCGCACAACAGCTGCTTCCTTTTGGATTCCAGCTTGGGTCTCCCGTCCAAAAAGACAAGACAAAAGAGAGAATGATGTATGTGCTATGGGCTTCACACTTTTTGATGAAATGGGATACATCTGTGTACTCTGTAAACACTACATCACCATTATTTTTTGGAGCATATGGGTAGAAGTGGGACCCATTTCTATCCTTGATCAGTGGAGCACTTCATGGGAAAAACTCCAAATGCTTACAAATCAGAATCTTTGTACGGAGTATATGCAAAGAAGAGACCGGCCAAAGTGAAAGAGGACAACAACTACAAAAAAGAAGATAAAATGAGATGTGGAAGATGGGATGGCAAATTGGAGTAATAATGGGAATGGTGGGGGCCATTGATTCCATTATATGGAATAATTAAAAGGCTCCTCGAGAAAATTCGAGGGAGTTTCACAACTTCACATGTCATTTGGCCCCACAAGTCCACTTAAAATCTCAAAGATATTGCTTTGGTGGAATTGCGTGCGGGATGCGTGTATCTTGGGAGATTTGTCTTGATGAAGACAGGAAGACTGGGACACAGGCACAGACCTGGAACGCTGGTTACTACACCGGTCTTGCTCAGTATAAAATAAAAAAATAATAAACCCGGAAGAGGGGCCCGGAAGAGGGTATGCCTGCAAGAGGGCTGGACCTGGAAGAAGGTTCGAACCGTACTTACACGGGCCCATGAGGTTTGACCGGTATCGGGGAATTAGCCGAGACTGGCAAACTGATTGGGGACTAAAAGATGCCCATTAAAAGAAATAGAAGAGGGATTGTCCACCGTGGCGCATCCTATTTCCCCCTTCTCAGGGAAGACTTGAACGGGGGGGTGAGCTAAGACCTTCCCGGGATAGTAAATATCAAAGGGCCATTAAAAGACTTAATCACCCGGAAGAGGAGGCCCTGGAAGAAGGGTGCATTTTGGGCCTTGGAGAGGGCTCAAAACCATCCGACATGGTTAATTCTCCAATGTTGACCTGGCCCGGCCAGCAGCATTATCTTATTGGAAGACTGAGACACAGGCCTGGCCTGGCACGCTGGTTACTACACCGGTCTTGCTCAGTATAATAAAGAAAAAATATGTGACCCAGTCGAACTGGTACACTGGTCTCACACCAGTCTTACACATATTTTCTAATAAGCGTGAGCCCAATCGAATTGGGTACACCGATTGCACATCGGTTTCAGCAAAAAAGTGAGCAAACTCATATCGGTGACGCCCGATTCATTTAAGCCCTCAATCTGAGGCACTTTGATCGAAGATGGTCTCCGCGAGACATGAAGATATTTACATCAGTCAACCGGGCTAACACTGATCTTCAACAAAGCTACCGCATCGGATTCAATTCTTATTAACTAAGGTCATTGTCATCGGTATACTAATTTCGTCACGCATCGTTTGCTTGACTCCTATTAACACCGACCTCGACAAAATAACTTTTCGAAGCATCGTTGCCTTATCGAACTGACATCGCTCTCGTTACTATAATTATTCGCACGAATCTTAATCATCTAACACTGAGCTCCTCGGTAAAAATAATAATTTTTTGAGCACGGCATAGGCCGGTCAAAAACAAATGTTGTACAAATTATTTTTTGCAGGAAAAAACTTACGATTCAAGAAATTAGAGAATTAATGAAGATTCGGAGGACTAGCAATAATATCTACCGGTCAAGAATTCAAGGTACGAAGACTGAAGATCACACTCGGAGGACTTGTTTACTTTTTTAAGTTTATGATTCTCACAACTCAAAAAAGTGGACTTCTTGATGGGAAATAATACGTGGCTCGGCCCACATTTCCTAATTATTTACGAAGAACAGTTAAACCGGGTCTGTTTAATAAAATAGAAGAATAAGAGAATATTCTTCCGTAGATGCTCTCACCCTCTCCTATAAAAGGGAGGGTTGCCCTAATTGTTGAGGGAGGGCAAAAAATCACACTCTCCCCTGCCATTTACTATTTCTCACTCTAGATAGCATATTTTTCTTCTTCTTCAAGAGCTTCTAGCTCCACCATTAATGACTTCTAAGCCTAAATCATGTACCGTGTATACACCCCCGATATTAATAAAAATCCCCCGTTGGCAAGGTACCGCCAAAAAAGGCCCGTGGTTTTCTCCCGATTTGGGTTTCCACGTCAAAATCCTCGTGTTTATATTTTGGTGTATTTTTAGACTAGTTTATCATTTTAGTCGGGCTAAAAACGGTATACCGGTCGATAATTTACACCATCAGACGTGGAAGATCAATCTGTTGAAGTATAGGGAGTCGAAATTCACATTGAGATTTGAATTTGTGACCTTCATTTAAGAGAACTACTACGGTCATATATAGTGAGTGTTTCTCTGTGCTTATACGTTGGTCAAAACTGCTTATAAGATGTTTTTAACTTATAAGCCAGCAGATGACGTGTTTCTCCGTGCTTATAAGACGACTTATAAACTGCTTTTAAGCTACAAAAAAATAAGTATGTCTTAGATTCTTATTTTAAGTCATTTATTTTGTTTTCTCATTTTGCTAGATTACTTACAAAACTATCTCTCACCTATTATGAATATCAATCCCCAAATAACATATATATCATTTAAGTCATTTAATCTGCATGATTGAAGTTAACTTATAAATAACTTATAAGTTAAAAATTGCTTATAGTCAAAAAGTCAATAAGCACCCGCACAGAGGCCCACATAGTGGTAGAGTACAATGTCTTTCGCAACTTACCTCATATGTTAATAAATTGGAAATGACATGTTTATTTATTTTTTTTTTGAAAAGAGAGAAAAAGTATGCCTTATATTCTATTCATGGAAAGAAAATGGAACATGAATGGTCCAAATAGAAAAGAAGAATGAAATATTCCCGTAACGGAAATGTTTGGTTCACAAAATAAATGATCATAAATCTTACATATTAATTATTTGTGAACTTCAAAAAAAAGAACTAGTCTAAAAAATTTGAATTGAGAATTTAAATCGTCAATGATAAATTTGTGAACTTTGTGACTATTTTATTTGTAAACCTAGCATTGTTCTCACATCAATACTCATTAAAGTTTAAAACTCTACAAAAACCTTCTATAATAACAAAAGTATTCCAAAATTCATTGTAAATATCTTTAGAGTTATCTGAATAAATAGTCCATGTAGTCTTTCATAAATAGTCAAATAGTTTCAGCTCTATAATTTCCAAAATTGCAAAATAGCCAATATGGTCAAAGTATCATTTCAAAATAAGTCACTCCTTCGGGGAAAACTTGAAGCATACAAAATGCGAAGATACTATGTAAAAATGTGAAATATGTAACAAAATAAACTAGCTAATCTGACAAAATTTCCTTCTGCCTTTATTGTCTTTATGGCTCATTAAAAGCAGAGAAGGGTTTCTTCTTCCTCATATATCACACACATTGCGGCCCTAACATAAAACTACTTGAAAAGTACTATTGTTCAATTGTACGTTCAACAAGATCACAATGGAATATATTACAAAGTTGTCTTGAGAGTTTAACCAAAAGGTAGCTGATATTGTGCTATGGTTCAAGCTTACACACTACAATTAAAATTTCAGATCAACATTTTTATTGTTACATATTTTTACCTATTCACATAATACATGCGTATTCCACATTTTGTTTAAAAGAAAGACTAATTATAAAACAATTCTTTGATCCCATGAACTATTTCACAATTTTTGAAATCTCAAAATTCTAAATTTATCGGTGATCATTTTATAATCTTGAAATATTTGTCTATAAAATTCAAAATTTTAGAATTTAGCATATTTTTATAGATAACAGGAGTGAGCATATATACTACGGTATGGTATGAGATTTAACTCATACATACCAATAGAGTGATACTGCGTGTACTGAATATTTAGGTATGAGATTTTACGTCTTGTTGATTCCAATCTCGATATTTCGTTTCAGGATGGTCCAATATTGATTTTGGTATCTACTTTACATTTAAAAATGTACCTATACTCTTTTTTTAAAAAAACTTCAAAGTGCAATTAAATAAAGAAATACTCCCTCTGTCCCAAAGATCTTGTCTAACTTTGAACAACGTGTTAAATCTCATAGTTTTTAAAACAAATTTATTCACATATCGGTATAGAAGTAAAAATACGAATTACACTGTTCAAAACTACACTAAAAATTTTACAAAACAAGACATTATAAGAATATCTTATTTTATCAAATGATTAATAAAAACATGTGGACAAACCAAAGTTATCGTGAGTCTAAAATAACAACTAAGACATGCTCTTTAAAATGGAGGGAGTATTAAACGTGAGAAATGGATATTAAAATGCAAGAAATGTTTGTGAAATTTAATTTATATTAAAAATGTACTCGAATATATACTCTGTATTATATTATGCTAGTAGATACATTTAGATTAGATTGAGATTTTTGATATTAGAGATATCTATGATCGTTTAGCTCAATTTCGGTTTGGTTTGGATTTGATTAAAGAAATCTTGGTAGTTTTTCGATTCAAATTTTTATCTTAGAGGCTGTTTGACAACTTCTGAATAGGTAAGTGTTGAACCAGTAAGAGGTCTGAACCATTAAGTGCTGAACCAGTAAGAGGTCTCAATCATTAAGAGCTAGTATATTGCTTAACTATTCAGAGGCAAATGTCTGATCAATTCAGATAAGAGGTCTTAACCATTCATACTCTGTATAATACTTAACCATTCAGAGGCAAATCTCTTAACTATTCAGACATCTGAACCATTAAGAGGTTGAAACAAACAGTCTGAATCATTAAGTGCTGAACCATTCAGACATCTAAACCATTAAGAGGCTGAAACAAACAGCTCCTTACTTTTTTCTTTTTATCCGTTTGATTTGCTCACACATTCATAATTTGGGAAAACAAAATTAATGAGGGAGGGGTATGATTTTCCGCCAACAAATTGCGCGGAGGTAGTTAGTTACTCGTACGCTTCCTCGACACGAGAAGAAATACAGGCAGATAAACACATGGAGGGCAGTTCAGTCATTTTCCAAGTCAGAAATTGATGACGTATTAACGTCCAACACCAGGAACGCTGGTTCCCCACCCAAATACGCAAAAAAAATCTCTTAGCCTACCCCTCCCTATATATATATAACGCCCAAACCTCAACCCCTATAAACTCATCATTCAATTCTCTCCGTCAAATTCCCAAGCTCCGACCCGATTATCCGAATCCATCATCGTCATGACTCTGTTCTCTTACTTTTTCCCTTCTCGCCGGCGATCCAGCCGGAAATCCGGCCTCCGGAAGCGGTGCTTGACCGTGGCCAAGCAAGAGAAGACTCGGTTCTATATCCTCAGGCGCTGCATCATGATGCTTCTGTGCTGGCAAAATCACTCCGTCGCCGATTGATCGCGAATTTGGAGAAGGAGATCGAGGAATTCGATCGGCGGCAGTGAATCGGCGGAGCCGATGGAGCTATTAGGGAGGATCGGAGAAGCCGGTCAAAATCGACGGCTCTGCCGTACAGTGGATGGATCGATCATGCTGTTATAATTAGGTTTGGACTTTGGATTTTGGATGCATAGATAGATTTTTGCTTCAAATGAGGGGAGCAGACGCAAAGTTAGAACTTGAGTCGTTTATATTTTTTTTGGGGGGGTTTTAAAAGTTGGATGTTTGCTTTTTTGCCAATTTGCCTCATTCTCATCGTAGTTGGAAATAGCTACGTTTATTTTTTTATTTTTATTTTTTTGAAAGCAAAATTGCCATAGTCTCCAATTTGTTGGTTTTTTAACGGCACGCGTTACAAAATCAATGCGTCTAGCTTATGTCCTACTCCATTCATAAGCAGTTGGTTCATTTTTTACTCAATTTTACTCTAGTTCATATCAATATTTTCAATTTGATTTATTATATTTTATGATTGTGTGGAAGGCCAAAGTGAGAACACTTTAGTCTAGTACTCTAGTACCTAGAGGGATTTTGAAAAAATAAAGAATGAGTTTCATCTTTAAAGGTCACTCAAAAATGGTGGAACGATTACTTCAGAGGAGAAAAGGTAAAGTAAATTATAGAGGACTCACGATGACTCTTTTCTCTTTTGCTTTTGCACAGCTAAACACAAGAACACATAAAGAGTACTTATAGGTGATATTTGGGAGCTAATTAAGGCAAGTTTAATCTTTAACTTCATTGAGAATTGCAAGACTCGTCATTGCCATTTTTTTACTATATCTATAACCAACGCTTCAAGAAGACAAGTAATGATTGAGAATACACAAAAACCCGTGCATTGTTGAACTCTACCAACGAGTCACCAAGTTTAAAAACAACATTCACAAAGACAAAAGAAAGAAAAATAAACCACAAAAATTCACAAATCAATCAGGGACATTAGTGAATTTTTTATAGAAGAAAGCACTTAGTGGTATCCGTATTAGTCAATTTGGATTCTATAGGAGTTTTCTCTAGCATGATAATACCCTTTTTAACTGATTGTTGCATATTTAAATGGCAGACTTGATATTAGAAAATACAACCACACTTTTATCAAGCAAGCAAATTTTAGACAAAAAATCTTTAAGCTAAAATAGCTTCTTTAAAAATAAAGCACTTAGAGTTGTAACATACTCAACCTCAGTAGTAGATTAACCACTTGTAGTCCACAAGAGAACAATAATAAGGTTTTGGAACAAGTTTTCATGTATGATCAACACAGAGGGATTCCATCTCACATTTCATAGCACTAACTTATTTTTAAAAACATAGGACTCTAAGCTAAGGCTCCACGACAAGTCTTAGGTTCTCGACATTCAAGGGAATCAAATACATGAAATACAAACTATTGGAATTTTTGACTTATAACGGAACAACTTCTGACATAAATTTGATGGGGTCTATAAAATTATTTATTCAAAATAATTATGGACAATTAATCTTCCATGTGAGACGTGTGTTTCAATATATTTTGCACCAAAAATAGTACTCGGATGAATGAAAAATTAATTCACAAAGTTGAACACTTGAAGAGGGTAAAACCCATGTTATCCCACATCAGATTTAATTTCAAACCTTTCATCTTACACTATTGATATGCAAGCATTGAATTGCATGGTAAAGCAATTTGAGAAGGAGGAAACAAAGGGCCCCTCGGGCACCGCCATTGTTGCCCGTCTCGCTCGACAAGCACATGTGTGTGTGCGTGCACGACGCGTCGTGACGTGCCAAGGGTGTGGGCCAACTCCTATCGTTTTACAAGACTGAATCGAACACATGTGGATACTTTGTTAAAAGGAAGCATGCAAACATTGTGAAAGTCTCATGTGACTCTTTGTTTCCTCCGCCCACTATCCAGCCAAAGTCTTTCCGCTCCTATATAAGGAGTCTTTCGGAGCAGAGGAGAACATACTCGAACCAAAAACCTTCTCTTTTACCCCAAAGTTCCAACTCTCTCAATTTCCAACCATCTTCTTCGGCGAGTAGCTCTCCATCATTTTAGTTTGTCGGTGCACTACTCTACCGCTCTAGACTTTGCCCGTTAGCAATTCTATCTTGGGAGAAGATCATCCGTGTTAGCCAGTGCGGGAGGCAGATGACACTACCTAAAGGAAAGCTCCGTTCATCTTCTATATTTCAGTAGCCTTTTTTTATTTTCTCAATTGTAAATCTAAAGAGTTTATAAGTTTGAATCTTTTATTTTCACAAATTCGATCATTATACAATCATTCACATATCTCAAAGGTTTCTTTATGATTCTTCTCTTTCTATTCATATAGCAAATTAAAAATCATGCAAATTATTTTCAACATGTAGTGATTCCACATTATCATGCTCTACATCATTAGGAAAAATATAATATCATCTCGATTAGTGCGTAAATCATGATTCATGTCAACATGTTCATTACTTTCTACATGCACATCAATAAGAAACAATTGCTCCACCTCATTTGGACCTGCATTTTGAACATTTGGAACTTGTAAGGACAAACAAAGAAAATTATTTTTATTGAACACAACATTTTTACTTATCACAATTTTGAAGCTGGCTCATCGTTTACCTACAACTTATATCCCTCCAGTTTATCATAGGAAAGCGCATAGTTTAGGCACAATTAGATACTCACATGTTTGAAAAACCAAGTGATTTCCCAAAGAGAACGAGTTCTATGAATTCCCCTTCAAAAAGTATAGATGTAGATCTATTAATGAGACATGAAGTAGTGCAAATAGTTTCAATCTAAATTTTTCTTAGAGAGCTCAAAAGAAACCAACATGGCCCTCACCCTCATACTCCCAAGAAGAGTTCTTTTCATCCTCTAAACCACCTCATTTTGCTGATGCATGAAGGGAACAATTTTAAGTTTTTTTTAATACACAAACGTCTCGAAGTAACACACAAATTATCAAGTTATTTATTTCAAAATTCTAGGCTTTTATCTCTAAAAGACCCTTCAAACATATTGGTGTACAATATATAAAAATCTTTGTCTCACTTAGAGTAACTTTACTATTGTCCTTACTTTCTTCCATCTCACTCCTATTTTTTATGACACATCAGTTTTCACTTTACTTTGACCGTTGTCACGCTTTCTCTTATCTTTTTAATGGCGGGCCCCATATGTAATAAATTTATTTTATGTACACAATATCTAATATATCAAATCAAAACAATTTTTTTTTTCAAAAATTAGATTAAATTTAAAGAGTATATTTTTTAGTTTAAAAAACAGATATTTCACAAAAAGTTAAATTGAATAAAAAAAATAATTGTTGTAAAATAATTCATACCATTATTTTAAAACATTAATCTTTAATTATTTTTTCCCCTCTCCCTCTTCCCGTCTCGATAATTTTGTCCAAATTTGGGCACTTCAATTCCTACTCCGTATTAAACATAAAAAATTTGTACAATTTCATAATGTTCTCAAAACCAGACCGAACATCGATCCAAACGAGAGAGTGGGTCAAGGGCTAACCAGTCGAACCGGTAAACTCGGAGGTCAACAACCCGGTCAATATTAAATAAAAATTCATATTTTATATTATATTATTAAGTGTTTTAGTTATAAAAGTATTTTAATTTAAATTTTTTCTTCTGCATTTAGTTTTTGATATAATTGTGCATATACAATTTCACACTTGGTTTTTTATCATATTATTCATTGTTATTGTTAAAATTTAATAATGAATATCTACAAATACTTAAATAATAAGATAATACTCATACTCCGTATTTTAAAAAATGTACATACTAGAAAATGTGCTCTTATATGCTCTTGGCATTTTAAAATGTATGTATAATTTGTTTAAATAATTGAAAAATAAAAAATGGTGCATACTAGATTATAAATATTAAATATTAGTTAATTTTTAAAAATAACAATATTTTTTAGGTACAAAATATATATAATTATTTCGGAGTAAAAATAAATCATGCTTAAATTTTTTTGAAGTACTTTAAAAGTTTGTAAAGCAAATAAAATACAAATGCAAACATGCCAAATAAAAAACTTGCACTTCATAATTAAGTTTTTTGGGTTTTCCCCATGTATCATAATGCATATTTAAAGAACCTTATGTCCATCGGATCGGTGTGATTGAAAATTGAAATCTTTTTGTGACAAAAAAAAATGTGAAATTGTTTCTTAGAAAAAGGAAGTACGGAGTATTAATTAATTTTTACGTGAGAAGATTATTATAGAACCTTATGTCTATCATAGAAACTTTCGTCTGCGAATTTCAAATTTTATTGTCTCAAAATGATTATGACTTTGTTTTGTTCGCCTTATCTAATTTGAGCTCATTTGAATTTTTCAAAAATATTATCTAATCTGTTTTGATATGATCTGATACCTCACTTGATTTGATTCGATTTTATCATATTTAAATTGATCAAATATAATTAGATCTAATCAGATTTGATCTAATTTGATTGAAAAGAACAGATCCATTTTCTTTTTTTAGACGTTACGAAAATCTTGTCATTCCTTTGTTAAGTTGTACAATTCATATTATTTTTTTTGTCCTTTGTATGAACTTTAATGACGATTTTATTTATCTTTTGAATCATTTTGACATTGTAAGATGAATTTATGAGAGGGAATAACTCTCCTTTCAATTTGCCTTTCTCACACTCCCTCACACACAAAAAACGTCTTTCTTGGACATTTTTACGGAGTAAACTCTTGTTGCAGGCCGGACTTAAGCGCAGCCCAACTTTGTTTTGATCTAAATTCGTTTAAATTTGATTGGGCCTTTGAGTTTGGGCCTAATCCATAATGTCAATCCAATAAAAGCGTATAAATGATGCCTCCAATATATTACTCTCTCCGTTTAGAAAAATCCTTCCAATTTGATTTGGGGGCAAAAATAAGGAAGTGTTAAATTATATTTGATTTCCAATATTGCCATGATGTGATGGGTAAAAGTAAGATGTGATGGATAGATGATTAGAGAAAAAGTATGATTTGATAGGTAAGGTATGAAAAAGTAAGGGTAAAAGTGGTTTTTTAATAGAAAGGGGAAGTGTTTTGTTGGAAGTGGAAAAAATGAAAGAGGAAGTGTTTTTGAGAACGGAGGGAGTACAACGGACCGAAACGACGAGAGGGATATTCAAAACGACGACGCTAATGGGAATATCAGCACTGCACGTATAATTGCGGAAAAGATTAAACGGAATATATAAACTTTTGAAAAGAAAAAATAAAAAAGCAAAAGAGAGAAAAAGAAGAGAATCAACACAAAAGGATTTGGTTGGAGTCTTCTACAAGAAGACCGAGTCTCCATACTCACTAAATTCGTATCACACTCTCCATTTCTAAAACAAAATATTCAATTTTTATTCGGAGTATTCACTTTTTTTATATTTATTCATTTATTTATCTATTTTAATTGCTCATTTTATAAATAAATTACTCAGTGATACAATTTAGAAATCGACCAAAATAAGAATAAAACATAAAGAAAGTAAGAAACAGAAGATTTATCTTTTTCAACGGCAAAATAGAAGTTTAAACGGTGATAATAGTCTACGACTTTTTTTCCTTTATAATTTATGATAAAACAATAGAAGGAGATAATATTATGCATATTCAATTATAGGAAGAGATACTAACAAATAGGAAGAACTACCTAAATAAAAATTTAAAAAAATGAAAATACCAAAATGAGAGTATTAAGTCGTTTAAGACTAAAATAGAAACTTAAACTCTTATTGTTACACTGTCATATTTATCACATTGTCACACTATAACTACCACATCGTCAAGTGTTGTCGCCATCCACTAGGGTATATATTACCGCCAATCACGACGGTTGATAGATCGCACTCACATATTACATTATGTCATCACGTTTCTATCATACTCCCAAATGGTTCTCTTATATCATATTGTCATTAACTTCTATAATTGTAACACTAATTCTAATGCTAATAATACTGATAATAATTATATAGTAGTACCAATAATAATAACTAATAATACTGATATTAATAATAATAAATAATATAATAATAATAGTAGTAATAATAATAATAATAATAAAGTTATTATAATAATTTAACTTTTATTTTAATCAGATCAAATAAGATACATTCAAATCAGATCAGATCGAATAAGATCAAATCAAACCAAATCAAATCTGAATAAAAACCAAAAAAAAATATTGCTCATTTTACAGGTATTAAAAATATACTCCCTCCGTTCCACAAAACTCTTCCTCTTTCATTTTTTTTGTTTTCCACAAAACACTTCCACTTTTTATTAAAAAACCATTTTTACCCCTACTTTTTCATACCTTACCTATCACATCATACTTTTTCACTAATAACCAAACTATCACATCTTACTTTTTCCCATCATATCAGGGGCAAAATTGGAAAGTCAACCAAAATTACATGCACTTTCCTTATTTTTCCCCAAAGTCAAAACCGGAAGGGTTTTGTAGAACGGAGGGAGTATATCTCTCTTTTTTCTAGGTTCTAACATATGATCAGGTAGTTGACTATTACTCGGTATCTATTTTTGAGAAGTTTCAAGTTCCCATAAAAGTACATTATTTGAACGAGGTAATTAAAGAGTAAAAGGAAATAATTCAAGTTCCCTAATTAAATGGCATGTATACTATTCACGTTCTTGAATTTTCTTTACTTTCTTTATCTATTACGGAGTATATATTATAGTTATAATAATAATAAAAATAATAATAATAGTGATAGTAGTAGTAGTAATAATAATAACAACAACAACAACAACGACAACAGCAACAACAATAATGTTAACAACAACAAGAACAATTATAATAAGAATGATATGTTAAATACATTTAAATAACTTTTTGAAGTTCTTTAATTTCTACTACGTAGTTTTTTTCCAATTTCTTTAAGATAAGATTCTTCCTATTTTTCTAGTTTTTATAATTTCTTCTCACATTCATTCCTTATTTTCTAGCCTTATAGAACAAACGCTAATTATTGTATTTTTTTAAAAGCAAAAGGATTGTATTAAATCAAGTTAGCTAGAAATGAATTTCCGAGTGAACCAACCCACTCCCTTCTACTCTAAAGGTAATGGAGAAGCCCGCACTAATAGAAGCACAACCTCATCATTAGCAGAACAAAAAATAAAACAGTCACAAATCTCCGCCACAAAGAATTCAAAGATTTTTACAATCATATTTGAGTTATTGATAGAATTTACTCCCTCCGTTCCTGAGTGTTTGTCCACTTTCATTTTTGCACACCATCCAAAACACTTCTTTAATCCATTTTATCTTGTAATTTGTATATTAAAAAATTATATATTAATAATCTATAAGTTAAGACGAATCAAACAAGATCACACATGTCTATATTTAAGCTTACACATTGATAGAATTTGATAAGTCAAAGTGCTTAGATGAACAATTCCAAAAGTCAAAAGTGGACAAACACTCAGGGACGGACCAAGTAAATACTAGAGTATGTCTGACCAATTCAATCATTTGATTGCTATTGTTTCCGCTTCTCGTACACCATAACTCCTCCCGTTACATTGAGAATTTTTTGCTGCCACGTACGAAGATATCGTGATGGTCACGTGCCGGAAAACCAAGATCAAGTGCTCCAACACTAACGATGGTAGTCGTCGGTCGATGCATCAACATTAATCTTTAATAATTAATCGATCGATTTTGTGTTGGTGTAAAACTAATTTTTGTTAAATGCACCAACATTTGTGTCCGTGTGAATTTTTATTAACGCACCAACACTTGTGTCGGTGTAAACCATCGAAATGTTTGTGCAAACCTGTAGCGTACAAATGGGGTATATTTTTTGGTGTAAGTGTAGCATGGTCCTTAATCGATTGGTGGCTTCTCCCAATTGACTGGTAACCTGTTGCCCTTCTGATGCTAAGGTGCCACAAGCCCGTCACCAATCACTTAAACTAATTATCGTATTTGAATAATACTCCCAGTTTTAGAAAATCCTTCCTATTTTGACCAAAGGCTAGATAAAAGAAATGTTAAATTGTAGTTGACTTTTAATTTTATCCTTAGAGTATTAACAATGGCAAGACAAAAATGAAATGTCACACGGTGACATGGATTATTTCAACCAATAAAAAGTAACCCAGTCACCGTGTGGCAAATGAGTGGATCGGAGTGTCGTAACATACAGTGGGGTGGAATCATGACCATGGAATGCCATGATTTGAAAATATAAAAAAAATAAAAAATAAGAGAGTCATGCCTTGCACATGGAATGAAAAGTGGGGTGGAATGACCATGGAATGCCATGATTTGAGTGGAATTTGCTGACATGTCATGGCATGGCAATGCAATGCCTTGCCATTGTGAATGCTCTTAATAGGATGGATAAAAGTAAGATGTGATGAATAGATTATTAGAGAAAAAGTATGATGTACTACGTAGGATAAAATTAAAAATAAGAGAAAAGTAATTTTTTAAGTGAAAGTATTTTGGTGGATGAGAAGAAATGTCTTGGTGAACGGAAGGAGTATAAAATAATATTTACATTTCCCAATTATACCCTACTTGTTTCCATTGTTATCGTTTCACCTCGATGACACTTCTTTCGCCTCTCTTTCTAAAAGTCAAAACATAAATAATTTTTATCAATTTTCATATGCAAATTAAATATTGAGGTTGGGATAATGTATAAAGAGAGTAATAATGTATATATAGTTTTATGAGAGGGATAATGTGACTTTGTGCAAAGAGTGTTCGAAAGCCCCAAAGGTTCCAAAATACATTCTTTATCACATGTTCGACCCCCCTCTGCATGAGCTGTCAGAAACCAATTTCCGATTCCTTCCTCACCCATTTTGTATCATCTTTAAATATGCTTAAAACTTTTTATTTTTAGTGCCTTCTCGCTGTTCACTTATCTTCATACCATTTTTAATCATGAGAATCTCTATATATCTATCTCAAATATACACAATTATGGTTAATTAAGTTTATGATTATATTTAGAAGTCAACAAATTAAAACTCTAAAATCATGCACAAAAAAACAATTCATTTAAAAGATTTAATTGGTCGTTAGAGACCAAAGTTTCCATACACTATAGGCCACACTAGGCATGGATACATACATGCATGCTCACCCTTTTTATTTAAAAAATAATAATCATTTTTATAATGTTAGAAAAAAATTACTTTAGCTTGATGCTAGTTAGGTAAAAAGATTAAACAATTAACGAAAAGGATATACGGCATGCAAAGCAATATATACCAAAGCTAGCATAAGAATGAAATAAATATATACTATAGTATTTAATATTACTAATACCTGTGTGTGTGTGTGTGTGTGAATCTTTTTTTCTTCTTTTTTTTTCCTTGGCAAGAAGCTTCCTCTTTTTCTTTTCTTTAAAATGGTATCTTTGCTTAATTGCTTCCTCATCTAAGCTAGCCTCTTTCTATCATCTCATCAAACTAACCACCAACCTACTTTAATTTATTCACTTATTATTCCCTCCTTCACTCAAAAAATAAAGGGAGATTCTACCTAGCTCCTCCTAGCTTTGATTCTCCCAAGTCCCAACAGTTATATTTTGTAATACTTCTTCATCATAATATGTATATTATCCCCCCCCCCCCCTAGCTAATTAATACTATGTATTATATATAGATATTGTGCTCTATCTATATATATCACAAGTTAATACACCAAGACTTAGCTTCTTACTCTATTTAATTTGATGATGGGGTCGCCCTTGGAGCTAAAACCGCTTCTTCTCAGACCATTTGGAGATCAGAGCGATGATCACCAAAAGCTCCAAGAGTTGGTTGCACGTCTTGAAGAAGAACGCCTCAAGATCGACGCTTTTAAACGCGAGCTTCCCCTTTGCATGCAGCTCCTTACCAATGGTACGTACGTATATATATTACTCGCATATGAAACCTTAATTTTTATAAAAAAAGTTGGATGGTGAACTTGTATCTCTTGTTCGATCGACATACAAAATTTTGATATCATGTCAATCGATCCACTAACTCAACTAAAAATTCAAACCTATGATTGTATGCGTGAAAATATATTTTTATATCCTAACACTGTTAACTAAGAGTTGCAGATAATATATATATATATATATATATATATATATATATATATATATATATATATGTATATATATGTATGTATATATATGTATGTATGTATGTATGGATTTGATTAGAAGTTTCCTCAGCTTTTTGAAACTTGTTACTCTCTTGTTAAAATTTGTGCATTGCTTTACTCCTTTTGTTGTTTCATTGGTTTGAAATTTGAATAATGAACTTTTTGTCTTGTGACCCTATACGCATTCTTGACTTGTTTTCTACTTTTAATTTCCACAACTTTTGATCTCAGTTTCATAGATTAATAAACTATATACTCCGTATTTTTTTGTACATAAAAAATGTGATGAATGCCATATATATACCATTCATTTTGTTCACTTTAAGGACACAATGAGTAATTTTCTTGGCATGGCCTGGACAATATTTGTCTCAGATGGAATTAGAGTGAGACTTTAAAGAGTGAAAGCTTGTACATATATACTGGCCTGGTACTATTTTGATTCGGTTAATTTCTTCATAGATACACAATGGAACTAAAGTGAGAAAAGCAAAAGTTTGGGTAGCTTATTTTATAAGTTTGGGTAACTAACTAAGTAGAGTTTTTACTTTTTACAATTAGTAGTTTTTTTTTGTTTATCGATAATTTGAGCAGTTTTGTTTTATTAATTGAATGGAATAAAACACATACAGCTATGGAGGCTTCAAGGCAGCAGTTACAAACTTACAAGGATTTAGTGGCTCAGCCGCGGCCGCCGCCGCCGGTTCTTGAAGAATTCATCCCACTCAAGAACAAATCATCTTCAAGCCACGACGACGACGATGACGTCGGGGAGAAAGATACGATCAAGAAACCGAACATGGCGCCCGACAACAAGGCCAACTGGATGACCTCAGCCCAGCTATGGAGCCATCATCATCAAACAAATAATAATAATAATAATAAAAGTAAAAGTGAAGGCTCCAAGCAGTTAGATGTTGTTGTTTATAGTTCTCTTAAAGAAGGTGATGATGACGATGATGACAGTATAGGGTTTTCAATGATGACCCCAAAGGCTGCAGTCTCGGAGACTGCAGCCGTTGGGGGAGGGGCGCTTCTGACATTTCCCAACCCAACCACCCTGGCGCTGGGTGCGTCGCTGTCCGCGCGTGACAGAAAGGGGGACGATCAAGCGGACAACGTGGATGCGGTGAGTTGTATCAGCCAACGGGACGGTCGAACCGCCGCTGCTGCTGCGGTGGCCGCCAATAACAACAGTAACTCCTCCACCACCACCGCCACGCAGACGCAGAGGAAGGCGAGAAGATGTTGGTCGCCCGATCTGCACAGGCGCTTCGTTAATGCTCTTCACATCTTAGGTGGATCTCAAGGTATATACATGCACGGAAAGTTACTTAAATAATACTAAAACAAAATGACTTTCTTTAAATAGTATCAAATGTGTTTTTTCCCAACGTAGCACTTTAAGTCATTATCCATTAGTCATTATTCAAGTAAATGTTCGCCGTCACTGGACATTATTAAGTATTATTTAGAGAATGAAACAGTTTAAGTACTATTTAGAGAAATGAATTAAATTTTAATTCTATGTAAATATTTCTACATGCATGCATGCATCTTCAATTCTTAATTAGCTCGCCATGATCATCATGTGATAGATTATTCATCACTATATAATTCATGAAATTAAACTGACACTTTGTAATAAATACATGCATGCAGTTGCCACCCCAAAACAAATCAGAGAACTCATGAAAGTTGATGGTTTAACTAATGATGAAGTCAAAAGCCATCTCCAGGTACATATATACATACATACAAATTAGCTATTATATGAGCTACAAAAATTATTTCAAAATATATAGAAACCAATATATAAAACCTTTTTGTGAAATGCGCATAAAGACAAAGTAGATCCTTTTTGTTGATGATAAATAAGTTTTTTTTGGATACACTAAATTTTATCCATGACCATAATTCTTTTACCACAAAAATCAAGGTAGGAACTTATTCAAAAATATGAATTTGACATTTTTTCTTGTGTGGTATGCAGAAATACAGACTCCACACGAGGAGGCCAATTCCGAGCCCACAAACGGCAGCGCCGGGAGCACCTCAGCTCGTCGTTTTAGGCGGAATATGGGTCCCGTCGGAGTACACAGCGGCAGCCACGCACAATGGTGTGCCACCCTCAGTGGCCGCCGCCACCTCCCTGTACGGGGCCCACCCGGCTGTCCACGCACCCCAGCAGCACCATTACTGCCCATCCCCCGCCTCGCAAGTGGTTCATCACGAGCTATACGCGCCGCAGCACCGGGCGGGGGCGGCGCTCCACCACTTGCACCACCAACAACAACCAGTCCTCCACCACCCGCTTCACGCGTACAAACCACCACCTTCTTATGCCCAAACGACTCAGAGCTCCCCAGCGTCCGGTTACCGCTCCGAGAGCATCGAAGACGGGAAGTCGTCCGAGAGCGGCGGCAGCTGGAAAGGCGACAGCGGCAGCGATAACGGCGGCAAAGCTGTGTTGTTAAGAGAGGGAGGTGAAATGGGCAAAAATAATGGGATGGAGATCAGTCTCAAATTCTAACGTTTTCTTAGCTTGCTTGAAACCCTTATTATTATTGGGAATTAGCGTTGATTTTTTTTACTCCGTATTTATTTAGTTCTAAGATAAGCTAAGGTATATATATAGATTTAATAATCATGTTTGACTACCGAGTATGCTTGATAGGCCAATAATTACAGATAGTATTCACTCTTGTAATATTTGCTTTTTGTTACTCGATTTTATTCATATTTTTTTTATTATTTGACTTTTTACGGGTTTCAGATACAACATTTTGACAATTAATATATGTATTTTTGTATAAACTTATTATAACCTTGTGATATTTCAAAACTACGTTTCAAAATAAATATATTCATGTTAAACTTACATCGCAATTCAATGTGACTTTTCTTTGATCCATGTTTAATGTATAAAATATTGACCACAAAAGTCAAAATGCAAAATAAAGATGTAGGGATAATTTAAATACAAATTGTAATTCAATGTAGGGTGTCCCTCCGAAAATAAAAGGCAAGTTCAGTTTACGATACTCCGTGTCTGAAAGAGCAAGCGAAGAACGAAAATCAAAAGTCGTGCACAAAAAAAGTTCATGAACCCGAATGTCAATGCGAAGGGCAAACCCCACGAGTTACAAACTCGGGATCAAGGCCAAAATTTCGAATCTTGAATACATCCAACAGACCAAGCACAACCACATGAGAACATCAACCATAGGAATTTGTTCCTCTCAACTACACAAGTACTCCATCCAAGGCCTCCAATGATGTCCTGTTTCGACAACTTTGTACTGACTCAATGCAACTTCGAGTCTTTTACAATTAACTAAGGGCCTCGTTTTCTGATTGATTTGATTGGTTTTGATCTGCATTTATTAAAATCTAATCTAACTACACTGATCTAATTCTAGTTAAAGTCAAAAGTATGTGTAACCTATTATAGTACTCCGTATATTTTAGTTCCAATCAAAATTAAGTGAAGAGAACAAACCCTTGATATCATAAGCACATGACAATTTAACCTAATACTCATAAGTCTAAATTGGCACCACTCTTATTGGTGTCAAAAGACAATACCAGATCAAATAGAACATCCAATCTTAAAATAGACAATTCTCAAACTCCTAAACCTCCCTAATCCCCAACCCCCCACTCGAGCACGCCATGACCTAGCCCAAACTGAACTAGTGTTACGTTGGTGTCGCAAACAAGTAATGTCAAAATAGACACCCTCATACTTATTTATAGTTCCGTCTGGTTTCAGTATCCTCTTAAATTTTGATTTGCACGGTTGCACCCGATCATTTTACACTCGGGAAAAAAAGATCAACATGGTCTCACGTTCTATTCTGATTAATGGAATCCAATCCATTTCTCAAGGAAATCTCCCCATTGAGAGTTTCAAATGTAGCAAAACTTATCTAAACATAATAGAATCACCCTCAAGAATGTAAACAATACTCCGTATATTCTTAAAAAACGCAACCAAATAAAGTTTATTGCACCTGACCGAAATTATGGGTGTTGCTATCCTTTCTAATTTCGTATATTTCGGTCTAGTGTCACAACAATGCTATAATTATTCCTAGGTTTTCCCTCTACATTCCAACCCAATACATATTGGTGTATCCCAAATTAATTGACACCATTTGACTTCACCGAGATTTAAAAAGGATTGTTAAAAAGGGAAAAGTGAGTGGCTAAAATTTTTTATATGAAGAAAAAAATGAAGACCGCATATTTTTTACTTTAATAGGAAAAAAAAGTTTGACGATATTTTTGAGGCGGACTGAATAGGAAAAAGAGACATTTAGGAGTATATACTAATGCAAATGCACTGTTTACCCTAAAATCATTGAGTCCTAATACAAAACAAGACAAATGTATCGAGGTTATAATGGTAAATTAGTTATTGCATCTCCTCCTCTTCCCTCCTGAACCAAAACATAATACTTTCCCCTCCCCTTCAACCAAGCACACTTTACCAAGTTTAGTAGAATCACCATTACTCTCTAGTCTAATTTCCTCTTCACACACCTTAGACAGCCAAATCAATAATCTACCTGTGTCCAAGTACTGACTATTCAACACAAATGACTTCTTTTTCCTTTTGTTTCAGTAGAAATGATATTGGAAATCCTACCATGCATCAGTGTATAAGTACAATAATATGTACCAAATGCCATGGGTTAGAATGTAAAGCCAATGTTTTCCATGTCTATTGTCCTGCAGAACTTGCATACATAGTATGTCAGTGAGTGACCAATGGAGCAATTGCTAACTGCAAGTTTAGATTAAAGCCCTAAGAACAGAAAACATCGATCATTAATAAACTCCCAAACCTCAAGAAACCTTGCTACTCAGAATGCATCATTCAAACTGAAACCACCATCGCATTCCATATCCAGCATTGTTGAGTGGACAAGCGACTGCAAGAAGGAACTGAAATAAGGTTTCTTTTGAAACAATGGATGCACCAAACAAGTTTAACACACGATATATACCCATCCGTTCAGGAGAGATTTGCTAATTATCATGATTAGTTGGGATAATATAGCTCATTGGCTGGAATAATAAATTAGGGGAAGCTGGTTAAGAATTTTATCATTTTATAGACTATTCTTTTTAGCCTCTTTATTTTGTCTCTATGTTCTTCCCTTAGAGGACATATCATATGCTCATACATGAAGCAATTCAGAGGCGCTATTATTGCAACACGGCAGTGGAAGTGGTGCTACTTTAATCTCATATATTGTGAAAAAAAAATATAGCCTCTACCTGAAGCTCCTGCTCAGAAACTTTAAGTCTTTCACCACAATCCCTTACATGGAGATAACACTTGAGTAGCTGCATTCAGTAAAGAATCAGATTTCTCTACCTGCACCTACGAATAAGAACCAAAATGGGTGGAAATATAGAATAACCTTAGATACTTGGAGCTGCCTTTGTGACCTAAGCTTCTTCACACCTTGCAGTGAATCCTCCAGTTTCTGTTATTACCAAACAGTATGATGGAATCAACACGTGAAGTCGCTGGCGTAGGCAGGTTGTAGACAGTTGGGGTATCCTGGGTTGGCTGTTGTTTTTGTGTTATACTACTTCCATTCTCAAATTAAATTCACACTTTCTTTTTTGCCCGTCCCAAAATAGACTTCACATTTCTCTAACTTTCTTTTAAGGAAAACAATATGTGATTCACAACATTTCTCTCATTTCCAAACAAATTTCAACCAAACTTCAATTTTCATAACTTTTCTTACACTCTATGAAGTCAAACTAGAAATATGTTTTAGGGACAGAGGAAGCACATTTTAAGATTTTTAAAGACTAATCTAAGTAATATTAAAATGTCAAAAATAAATACTCCCACCGTCCCAAAAAAAATTTCGTCTTTCACTTTTTACGTATCCCAAAAAACTTTTCAATTTTGGCCTAAATAGACATAAATGCTCTTTCTTTTTCTAAATCTAACCTAACCCGAACTCCCTTTTATGTCTTCCACATTCTGACATTTCCCAAACCCTACTCGTTTTGATTGTCATCATTTCCCTTTGATCAAAGTTTTAGAACTTTCCCTCCCAAAAGTCAAAACTGGAAAAGCTTTGTGGGACGAAAGATGTATTTGTCAAACTAAAAAAGAGATTTATAATTTCTTCCTCTGTTTCAAAGTTATGTATGCATTTTAAGAAATTAGTAAATACTTGTCTAATATACTTACTATTTATTATTTATGAGATTTATAATTTATTATTTATTAGATTAAAATCTCATAAATAATTAGTAAATACTTGTCTAACAAGATTAAGAGAAAATTCTACTCTTCCTCACTCTCTCAAACTTGCATAGCTCTCAACAATTGGAGGTAAAATTTAGCCTTTCCCCTCAATGTTGTTAAAACGTCATCCCATAACATCCTCGACAAATATAAGCATCAAGTGCTCAAGTCTATGCGTAAAAGCATTTAAATTGCTCAACTTTTATTTGGAAAAATTACATTATATCGATAAAATGTTTTCTATATTAATTACTCCCTTTGTCCCAAAAAACCATTAGAGTTTGAGTTATGTGGTCAAATTGCTACACACTTTGACCATGAATAAATTTAGTTTTAAATCAATAGATGTAATAAAAATTTGATATATCAAAATTAAATCTTACTTTGTACATAAGGAATAATAATTATCCAAGGCAGACAAATACTGCATCGTGTGTAAGGTAAATTAAGAGATATGTAGTATATTTCAAAGTGTTAATTTTAGGAAATATAAAATGATTTGGAAATATATCAATTATTAATTACAATTACCCAAGAAAGAGCTTGGATTGCGTGTTTTGCCTATTTAAAAAAATACATTTATATTTCCATATTATAGAAAATAGTCATTGACCGCAGCTCAATTTTATTTCTAGCTATCTCAGGGTGGGCGATCTATTTATTTAAAAGCATGATTTGATCTGTATAAAGTAACAAGAGAGTTGCAAGACTAGCAGAAGTTACAACATTGCAGCAACAAGACTGAACCTGGAGCTTTTCATGTAACTCTGAAACTAGCTTTGTCTTCTCCTGCACCATTTCCTCAATCTGAGGTATCTGGAAAAGCATTCAAGATTGAGTTCAAACTATGTGGCATAAAAATTGATCTTACTTACAAGAAGAGTATATTTGACTAAGCATGATGGCTCAAGTAAAAAAATTATTTTAATATACCCAGACAGAGATTATAAAAGAAAACCTCAATTGTTCGCTAATCGAGCCATATTAAACACGTTATTTTTTTATTCTTCCAGGAGAAAGCAATCACAAATATGGAGTGACAAATTATTAAATGAAATAAAACATGTATTTTAGTTCTAAAACTCTATGTTCTTTACTCTGGTACAATGGTAAGGTTGTGTGCATCTTGACCCCTAGACCCTAATGGAGTTCGGATTATGGTGGGTTGTCTCCCATTCAAATGTAACAAGACATAATAAATGATAACAGGTATAGTGGGAGCAAAATAAAAATCAACCCCTAGTATTTATTGATTCATTCATTCCTTACTGGCAATCTTAACCATAAGTTGGATGATGGGACAATGTGAGACTCCAGATTTTTCTGAAACATACCAATACCCACCCAAAAGCACTTAAATGAGTATTAACAGTTAAGCTTTAGCAACTCAAAAACCACTCCATAAAGAGCACTCGCTGAACATATACCTCGTTTTGAAGTTCTTCAAGCTTTCTATTTGAAACATCCAGTTGCTTTTCAGCCTTATTAAAGGTACAAAATAATTAGTTACATAAACATGCTACAAAGCACATTGTAAAAGCAAAACCCACTGAAACAGTAATGAGCATACTGCATACCAGATCATGGTTTTTTTCACTTGATTCAGGAGAACGATCTCTATCATAGTGATCAGTACCAGACCTGCATCAAATGTTTGTTATCAAGATAAGCTAGTATGACAACCATTTGATGAACGCTCCTATGATTTTGAGAGAGCAAAATAAAAGTATACAACTAATTGATGTTTTATTCATTTGACCAATACAATGGTTCAAAAAGGCATCATACGGTCATACCCATTAGGTAACTTAGAAGTTAGATCATTGTCTCTGCTTGCACGATTATCGTCATTCTTCTGCCTCTTTCTACGGTGATCTCTAATTCTTTCAAAGCTGTCACCATGATTCCTTTGGCGTTCTCGTTCAAAGTCTATATCTCTTTTGTATTCTTCAGCTTTATCTCTATCCACATTATATTCTCTTTCTAGATCCGGATTATGCACTCTCGGGTACCCCTTCTCCCTGTTATGATCACGGTCTCGAGAACGGTCCCTACGACCATCCCTAAGTCTATCATAATCATAACCATCATCTCTTTCCCAGCTGTCCTTATCACTATCCAGCCCTCTCTTAGTGTGACGATGAGAACTCTGATGGTCAAAATTTGACCTGCCCCTGGTCCTGACATCATTCACTCTTATGACCCGCCCTTTAATGGTCTAGTTATAAATTGGGTGAAATAGAATCAGAAAAAATTAACAGTAGTATAAATGATAAACCAACAACAATTATGATAATAAGGAATATTCAGAAGTACATGCATAAAGACATACCTGTCCATCCATATCAGCAATAGCCTGCTGAGCAGATCGAGGATTTGTGAATGTGACAAAACCATAACACTTTCCCCTGACATTTTGGTCATTAATTATCTGCAAATCAAACATGTCAAAGGAATCAAAGAGACTACATACTATACATAAATTGGAGATAAAGAACACAAGTCATGCAAGGGAAAAAAACTACATATGGCTTTTACAAAAGAAACCGTGGAACTTATGCAATAGACAGCTTCCTGAGAATAAGTTTAAGCAAATAAAAGTACTCCGCAATAAACAAAAATTAAACTTGAATTACTACTACTGCTACATCACTGCTAGAAAGGTATTGAGGACATTTAACAATAAAAGTGTGATACACTAATGCATGTACACGAGGAGTTTGGTTAAATCCCGTATAGATTCTAACAGATATACTTCAATAGTAGTTTTAAAATTATTGTTATAACAATATGCTCTTGTAAACATATCATGTCCCTAGTTATTTTAAGTATTCAGCATTGATTTGAACCTTCATCTTTCACAAAAACCACATGCTAAAAGCAATTTCCCAAATCTGATGGAGTAACATTTTAGTTTACTTGAAAAAACATCCTAAAACCTGACTTCATGCTATAGAACCTTAAAATGACTAAGTATTAGGGTTCAATCATATAGTACTTGAGAAAAAAATTGGGGTTAAAGTCATTTATGATTTAACGCAAACTACAACCCAAGGGTTTGAAGCTTCACCCTCTTCTCTTACGCCAATCTCAAGCTACCATTATTATAAGCAGTCCTCTACTATGAACAGTGACTGAAGGAAGAAAGGCACAACAGAATCGGTATAGCTACAAGCGCAAACACTCCAAAAACACAGCTTTAACTTAACATCTATACAAAACAAAAGTGATGGCATGAAGAGATCAAAATCGCCTGATTTAATGCAATGACTTTCGCAGAAAAAACGGAAGACAGAAATGAGATTAATCCATTGGAAGCGTTATCAATTTGAATGTTGAAACCCTAATCATAGGCCTAGGCGCAAGCGCCTGAGTGGATACAGAAGAAGATAGAGGGTTGGGGGGAACCTTGACGTCGACGACGGAACCGTAGATGTTGAAGATTTCCCGGAGACTTTCTTCGGTTGTGCTGTACGGTAAACCGCCGACGTATATGGAGCTCACGTCGTCTATCGTCATCGTATTCCGGTCGGCCCAAAGCTTCCCAGCGCAGCTAACATTTGAGTTGGGATATGGGATTAGACTGATCTACTCTGCTGTACATCCGGGCTCCGGCCCATTATTTTTTCAAAAAAAAAGGTCAAATAATTACATTTTCTGAAGTTTAGGTCTTTAGGAAACAAACACCAATATTTCATATTTTCAAAATCCATTTCTACGATATTTATGATTTTAACACGTTGAAAATGCACGTCCACTGATTTTTTTCCCTTCACTTTTCCAGCTAAGAGGACATTGAACCAAACACGAACAAAGGGAATTCTATTCCCTGTACTGAACCAAACAGACAAAGTAATTAAAGGGTAATCATTCCTTTTCCCCCTGCTTTCCTGTTTCCTTTCCCTTTCCTCAGCATGAACCAAACGCCCCCTAAATAAGATTAAACCATTATTTAAGTGCACCGTGAACATATAGATGGGGGTAATAAACAAATACGGAGTACACACTATCTAGCTTTATTTTTAGTAGTTAAAAAAAATTTTTATTATTCTCCCTTCGTCCCGATTTATAGTGGTTGTTTGACTGTTTCGATTTACGATGTTTGATTGAAATTATTTTCAAATCATTTTATATGACAAATGGCGTAGAGTTAAAAAATAGAAATTACATATTAAAATATAACATCAAAAGATCTACAAAACTTGTATTGACAATAGTATTTTATTTTATCAAATTGCTAACGAAAATAGATAAAGAAAATGAATGAAGTTTGAGTATGTGAATAGTGAACATGCATTATAAATTGGGACGGAGAAAGTATTAAATATTGATATAAAAATAATTGTATTGGATTTATTTTGTAATGTTAAAATATTAGAATAATAGTATTGCTCATTGATAGAGTATATATATATGAAACACTCCTAACACAACTAGAAATATAGAATGGAAACTAACTAAAATATTACATCCACCATAAATAGGAATAAGAAGCTGAGTAATAATCAAACACTACCATAACTGCTACTACTATTATTATCTAACATTCCCCCTCAAACTAAACTCTAGTTGAAACAAAAAGAAGCTTGGCCACTAGCTGAAAATTGAAAACTTTGAGAAGAGAGAAGTCTGACGTGCGCTGGTGGCTGCTGACGTCGTCGTTTGAGAAGAGAGAAATGATTGACGTGCGCTTATAGTTGCTAATATCGAAGAAGAACATATAAGGCTATTAGAGGTGCCTCTTCAATTTAAGATCATTGACATTCTATGTCTTTCTTTTAGATCGAGGCAATGTCATGTTTCTTTCCTCAATTGTGAGAACTTGTATGACTTTTTTTTGGAGGGGTGAGTTGTAGAACTATTCTTTCCTCTCTTTTCTATGTTGATATTACTTTTGTTTTTATTTCCTTTGGATTTTTATTGGTTCAACAAAAGAGACGGAGAAGGGAGATTGATTATTAGAATGAGTGATTTGAGAGAGAGAAGAAGTGGATTATGAATTGTTGATGGAGAAAAGATCTTTGTCTGAGATTCAGATATGGTAAATTGGAGAGGAACAACTATCATTTTTTTCTTTAATTTTGAGAAGATATGAAGATGAGTTGAGAGAGTTTTTGAGGAGTTGCCATGTAACGCCCCAAAAATAGGCCTATCAGTATTAATTAATTGATAATTAATTAATTACTGAGAAGGACCCAAAAATAAATAAATTCTAAAGTTTGTCAATAAATAATGAAAATTATATCAATGTGTAGAGTTTGACTGTCTGATCCCAACGGTTCAATCGGATTTCAATTTGGAGAAATTTGGACCATAAAGTGTACCCGATTGGGACCAAAATTAGTCCCAATCAGGGACTTGCGTTTGCAGCCCGTAGAAATCGCCGCTCCCTCCACTGAGACGCCACAACAGTAGCAGAGGGAGTCATCAACCATGTCTTCATTCCATTACTCCCTCCTATTTAAACCCCTCCAAACTTCACCATTTCTTCACCTTTTTCCTTCAAATAAACTCTGAGAGAAAGCGGTGAGTGTGGAGAACGAAGTTGTGCTGTCAATTTGGTGTGAAGTCGCCGGAGCAAGCTACAATCCTCTCCGGAAGTTTCGCCGGAAAATTTTTAAAACCTTCAATAAGCTTCGAGGTAAGCCCTTAGATATATCTAATGACTAGAATGTTCATATGGGTCGTTTCTACGTTCCTAAATGGTCATTTGGTTGAGTTTTTGTGTTTGACATACTTAAGAACCAAGAATCATAAACCTTGAATTTGATGTTAAAAAGATGTTTTAATGATTCCAAAATGATCTATGAACCTTGGAGAACATTTCTATATAATTTAATTGAAGTTTGGTGATTAAAAATGATAATACTCGAAACTGACCAGAGGAAGAAGATGATGAACAGTAGCCGAAAATCGATTAATGACTCAATAGAATCGATTAAAACTTTGTTCAGATGAGGGTGCTCGAAGTCAGAAAAACATAATCGATTATTTATAATTTATAAATCGATTATAATTAATTAATCGATTATTTATAAAAGTATAAATCGATTTTAGTATAATAATCGATTATTTATAAACTAATAATCGATTTTTATTATTAATCGATTATTATTCATTAAATAATCGATTTTCCCACATTTTATATATATAAATAGATTATTTTATATTAAATCAACTTCAATTCGAGTTACTGCTTCGAAAAATATTTTTCAAATTATGCTCTAAAATCCTACTTTTGATACCAACTAATTATAGACAGTATAAATATGATTTTGTACAATAAAATGATGTATTGACATATAAGAATGTAATGTGATGCATGACGGTAAGTTCGGGTGTTAACACTCGATACTAGATCACTAATTATTATTAGATTTTATGATTGTTTAACTATTGATTATGATAATTAATTATGTTGAATACTCTGAATGACGATCATGAATTCTTAAGTTGAGAATAATGAATTAATAAATCATACTCTTAAGGCTACTTAGAAGACCTCTAAGATAGACTTCTGATTAGAATGGGCCTTGCGAGTATAAAACGTATATTCGGTGGCCTTGGGTAAAAACGTACGTACGGGATCCATAAACCAAACTAGAGGAACTCGTTTGGGGATACCACCCAACCTGACAGTTAGTAATCTACTGTTCAGTTTTCTGGATTTGTACCTTAAGCGAAGGCTAGTTTAAGAGTTGGTAAATAAATTGGAATATGTACCTTAAACTAATGACCTAGCTTAAGAGTTGGTTAGAAGTACCTTGAACTAGAATTAGTTTAAGNAACGTATATTCGGTGGCCTTGGGTAAAAACGTACGTACGGGATCCATAAACCAAACTAGAGGAACTCGTTTGGGGATACCACCCAACCTGACAGTTAGTAATCTACTGTTCAGTTTTCTGGATTTGTACCTTAAGCGAAGGCTAGTTTAAGAGTTGGTAAATAAATTGGAATATGTACCTTAAACTAATGACCTAGCTTAAGAGTTGGTTAGAAGTACCTAAAACTAGAAATAGTTTAAGAGTTGGTAATCATCAAATGTTTTAGACTAAGCTTAGTTAAGGATATTGTTGAGCATTGAATGTTGAATATTGAAAAATGGAAAATATCATGAATGAATTATATATTGTGTGCATGACATCAAATGGTTGTTTGTGAATTGAGATTCAATTTATGTGGATGTTCGACGCTTTAGATATGCTTACTCAGCTTCATCGCTGAGCGTGTAGTATGTTTTATTTGCTACACGCAGGTAGACTGAATGAATGATTGGCTTGTTCCTAGCAGCACAAGGGGCGAGATTGTCGTGGTGGAATTTCTGATTTTAAAATAAATAAATATGTTGTTATTAAACATGGTTTAAATTGCTTCCGCATTATTGTTAAACACTCTGCATTTTGCTACAATTATGTACTAAATAATAATTATGATGAATAAAAGTATTTGAAATGTTTTAAATTTATGATTTCCAAGTTAATACTTAAGTCTGAAAGGGGCTGCAGACCTGGACGGATTAGGGTGTTACATGCCAATCCAAAGAATTGAAGAAAGAACATCAGCTTGGCGGGTGGCTAATGGCTGTGTCGCCCGCCATGAACGAACACATAGAATTTTAGGTCACCAAGAGTGGTGACTCCGATACCATGTTGAAATGTTGAAATAATAGTATTGATCATTGAATTATGAAGTACATGATAGAGTATATATAGGAGAAACTTCTGTCCCGACTAGAAATAGAAAATGGAAACAAACTAAAATATTTCATCTACCATAAATAGGAATAGGAAGCTGACTAATAATCGAACACTACCATAACTGATATTATTGTTGTTGTTGTTGTCCAACACATAACTCTCCACATGCAATGTTTCATGTTTTAAAAGTGCAGAAGTAGTCCTTTAAGTATTCATCAACCCTCCATGTGCAATTTTGTTTACAGTACACATTAAAAAGATAAATGGATAACTACTTCCATATATATTATAGGAAGTACTTGTATCTATATGTAGGTGATTATTTTGTACGTATGGGGAATTAATGAATTTCGATAATTTCAATCAAAGTTTGGTGTTCTTTACTATACAAATCAAACCCTTTTGAAAGTAAAATTATCTCCAACATTTACAATGGGAGGAAAAGACCCACTGCGATGCGCTTCTCAAAGGATGAGGCTAGTGACAGGCACCCATTTCAAGTCGAATTTGCATCTGGTACTGAGGCGGAAGTTATATATAAAGAGTTAATTACATTTGGCGCCCATTGTAGCTTAGAAGTTATATATATATATATATATATATATATATATATATATATATATATATATATATATATATATATATATATATATATATATAGAGAGAGAGAGAGAGAGAGAGAGAGAGAGAGAGCTAGTGCTTCATTTAGCTTTTAACGTGTACCGTAAAACAGACTGTATTTGGAGGGTTGATGAATACATGAATGACTATTTATAGATTTTTAAAACTTAAGGATTAGATTTGGAGGTTGTTGAATACTTGAATACTTGAAGGACTAGTTATGAATTTTTTAAACTTGAAAGACCAATGTTCGATTTTAGCATTTCATCTTACCACATGTGCCTCGTATGATGTCTAGTTCTTAAAATTAATAGTCGGCAATAATTCCTTTCATTCGCCTCGACCCGGACCACACTATAGCCCCAATGCCCCATCAATTCT